TGTACTTCTATTTCTGCATAGATTACATCATGTTCACCACCAAAATACTAATTACAACCCATCACCACACACATGTACCCAATTATCCCTTTCACCCTCCTCCCTCCCCCCTTCCCCTCTGGTAACCACCAATCCAATCTCTGTCCCTATGTGTTTGTTTATTGTTGATAACATGGATGGACATTGAGGGCATGATGCAAAGTGAAATAAGTCAGAGGGAGAAGGTCTGGTCTTCTTTTTAAGGTATATTTAAAGGCAACCATGTCCTAACAACAGTATGAGGAAGACTGATACTACATTTAAGCTAATAAATACAATTTCTTTATATAGGTACCTATATATTAACTGTATAAATACGTGATAATATATGAATGTACCCTAATAATGCAAACACTAAGGACTAATTTAATGTATAGTTCATTGAATGTTGATTCTGCTTGTGCATATTATATTTAGTTTATAATATATTCTGAAACTGAAATGTAACGGTCATTTATTCTCTTTATAGAATTTCACTACCAATTTTCTCCCTTTTAGTATTTGTTTCAAAATCGTTTTTTTTCACATTATAGACCTTGGCTTGAAATTATGGTTCTTGGTTATCAATGTTGTTGCAGTAAATTACAGATTATCAGTGTAGCAGTCAATCTGTGATACAACGTACCTTTGAGGATGTAACCATAAGATTTGTGGTTTGTTTGTTATAACAACAAATTTTACTTTACATGACCGTTATAATGCAATTGTTAAGACAAGGGTAGATACAACAGACTTATTGATCAGAAAAGAGAGCCCAGATGATAGAATTCTTTGCTCAGTAGCTTTCTTGTGGATTCTTTGGGGTTTTCTATGTACGGGATTGTTTCCCTGTGAATAGAGATAATTTCACTTCTTTCTTTCCAATTTCGATGACTTTTATGACATTTTCTTGACTAATAGCTCTGGCTAAACTTCCAGTACAGTGTTCACCAGCAGTCGTGAAACAGGCTTCCTTGCCTTGTTCCTGATATTAGGGAGAAACCTTGCAGTCTTTCACCATTGAGTGTGATGTTAGCTGTGGTTTTTTCATTAACATCTTTTATCACATTGAGGAATTAATTCACTATCCCTAGTTTTCTGAGGGTTTTTATCATGAATGGATTTTATGAAATTCCTTTTCTTCATCAAGTTAAATGATCATGTGATTTTTTTCCTTTGCTTTATTAATGTAGTCATTTAAATTGATTGATTTTCTTATGTTGTACCACTCTCGAGTTCTTAGATAAACAGCATTTGGTTATGGTAAATTATCCTTTAAATGTGGAGTTGGATTCAACTTGTGAATATTCTGCTGAGGGTTTTTTTTTTGCTTTTTTCATGAGGAAGACCAGCTCTGAGCTAACATCCGATGCCAATCTTCCTTTTTGGTGCTGAGGAGGATTGGCCCTGGGCTAACACCCGTGCCCATCTTCTTCTACTTTGTATGGGACACCACCACAGCATGGCTTGACAAGCGTTGTGTCGGTGCACACCCTGGATCTGAACCTGTGAACCCCACACCATCTAAGCAGTGCTCACCCACTTAACTGCTGCGCCACGGGGCCGGGCCCTCTGCTGTGGATTTTTGCATCTGTATTTATCAGGAGATTTGCTCTGTAATTTTTTTTTTTTCTTGTGATGTCTTTCCAGGGCTTCGTTGTCAGGGTAATGGTTCTTCATGAGATGAATTAAGAAGTGTTGCCACCTGTTGAAATCTTTTGGAGGAATTTGAGGATTTTTGGTGTTAATTCTTCTTTAAATGTTTAGTAGAATTCACCAGTGAAACCATGTTACCACGGGCTTTTCTTGTGATTTTTTTCATTACTGATTCAATCTCCTAGCTCATTATTTGTTCAGATTTTCTACTTCTTGATTCAGTCTTAGTATGCTGTATGTTTCTAGGAATTTATCCGTTTCTTCTAGGTTATGCAATTTGTTGGCCTATGATTGTTCATATTAGTCTCTTATAACCCTTTGTGTGTCCATGGTATCAATTTTAATGTCTCTTCTTTCATTTCTGATTTTATTTTTTGAGCCTTCTTTTTTCTTAGACTAGCTAAAGGTTAGTCGATTTTGTTTATGTTTTGAGAACACCAGCTCTTTGTTCTGTTGATAATTTCTATTGTCTTCTGATCTCTATCTCATTCCTTTCTGTTTGTATTTTTATATTTATATGTTCTTTAGTTCTGAAGGACAGCTGTGCTGAGTAATGTGTTCCTGGCTGGCAGTATTTTTACTTTCAATGTTTTGTATATATCACGCCACTCTCTCCTGGCCTGCAAGGTTTATGCTGAAGTCTGCTGATTACCTTACAGGGTTTCTGTTATAATGGACAAACGTCTTTTGTCTTGTAGCACCTCCAGTGAAGAGGAACTTTGACAGACAGTTGTGATGGCTAGGATTGGCAGAGTGTGTGCAGTCTGCTGTGCGTGCTGGCTGGAGTCTCTTGCATGGTGTCGTAGGCCAGCTGTGGACACTTGCATGGTGGTGAGGGTCAGGGCCACGGGCAAGGGTCAGGTGTGGGTATGTGCATAGTAGTAGAGGCCAGCGATGGAGGTTGAGGCTCTGCCCGTGAAATCACAGCTGTGGTATATGGGGCTAGTGGTATGCTTTTGTGCCACTACAGGATTAGCCATAGGTGTGCATGCGGGTGGGGGTCAGTGAGAGGAAATGGGTTAGCTGCATGCATGTATAGAGCTGTGGGGGCTGGGGCCAGCTGCATGTGGGTGCTCAGTGGCCATGCTGGTTTCTAGGATCATGTTACCATGGCAGTGGGGATGGGGTGGGACGCAAGCTGTGGGAGTCTTTCAAGGCCAATTCCTGCAGGACACCTAGTGACAAAAGCTACGAGAGTCTGTAGCAGCTGAGTTGGCTGTTGGTTTCCTCAGGAGTGAAAATTTCTGGGTCTGTCTGTTGAGCTAGCTATTGGGGTCTGCAGTGGTAAACACTGGATAAACAAAATATGGTATATGCCTAAAATGGAATATTATTTAGCCTTAGAAAGGAAGGACATTCTGACACATTCTACAACATGGAACAATACTGAGGACATCACACTAAGTGAAAAAGCCAGTTTTTAAAAGAGACAAATACTGAAAGATTCCATTCACCAGAGGTACCTGGAGTGGTCAAATTGATGAAGTTAAAAATGGAAGGGTGATTACCAGGGGCCTGGACAGACAGGGGATATGGGCCTTGTTTAAAGAGTGTAGAGCTTTATTTTTGCCAGATAAAATATTTCCGGATTGCCCGTGATTGGTTGCACAGCACCGAGAATTACTTACCATTAACGAACTATATGCTTAAAAACGGTTACCATGGACCCGCTTAAATCCCCACAAGTCAAACTGTGACGACACAGTCGGACGACACGCGTGAGGGAGACAAATACGGGAACACCGAATTCTCGCGTTACGATGAGATCTACAGCCCTGCCGTCACTCTCACGAAGACGCTCGCGAGAATAGAGAGTGGGTGGTGCGAGCCACCGGTTTGCGCCAAGGGAGGCTTCTATGAGGAAAGCAGCCGTTAACGTACTGTTGGTCTGACTACTGCGGACATGAACGGCCAGGATGGCGTCGAGAGGAAGCCTCACGCCCAAACCCGCAGCCTAACTGCTCCCGACCTTGCCTCAGGAGACGCGGACCCGGCCCTGTGCCCGAAGCTCGGTGAGGAAACCGAGGCGTCACTAGTGACGGCGGAGACGGGTGAGCAGAGCTTGGAGGCCGCCGCCCTCCCGCCGCCCCGGCTTCCAGAGGAGTGGGGAGCGCCCCAGGACCCCGCGGGCTGTGGCCATGCTCCCCAGATCCGAGGCGGTGGGGATCGCAGTTGCGTAGCGACCAAAGCGGGGCAAGAAGAGACTGCGCCTCCCACGGACGGCCTGGAAGCGGCGTCTGCGTCCGTGGCGACGGACAGCAGCCGGGAAAATGGCCGTCAGCGTGCAGAGCCGCGCCGCCTCGGCGACGAGAAGGCCCTAGAAGCCTGTGGCGCAGAGAGGTCCGGGTCTGAGGTGATGGCGGAGGCAAGGGCCGAGGAAGCGAAGACCGAAAAGTGCCCCGTCTTCTCGGGAGCAGGGGATGAGGAGGTGGTGCAGAAGGAAGGAGCGAAGGAGGAGGACGGAGGGAGGCAGGCGATGGAGGTGGAGGAGAGGCCAGTAGGTGGAGAAACAGAAATGGTGGAGGGAAATAGAGCGGTGGAGGAGGTGCGGGAGGAGGCAGGGCCCCAGCCCCTGGGCGTGGATCTCCGCATGAACGCCCTGGGGGCCATCCAGCTGGAACTGGACGCAGTGAAGGCTCGGGCTGACAGGGCCTTTCAGCAGCTGGAGCAAAGATTTGGACGGATGCGTCGAGACTACGTGGCGCGGAGGGACTACATCATTCAGAATATCCCGGGCTTCTGGTTCACTGCCTTTCGGAACCACCCCGAGTTGTCCCCCCTGATTAGGGGCCAGGATGCAGAGATGTTAAGATACCTAACCAATTTGGAGGTGAAGGAGCTCAGACCCCCTAGAACTGGGTGGGAGTTCAAGTTCTTCTTTCGAAGAAACGCCTACTTCCTAAACAAGGTGATTGTCAAGGAATGTGAGGTCAGACCGTCTGGCGGGGTGGTGTCTCTTTCCACTCCAATCATATGGCACCAGGGCCGTGAACCCCCGTCCTTCTATGGCAGGAACCCAGATGTCGTCCGCAGTTTCTTCACCTGGTTTTCAGACCACAGCCTTCCAGAGTCTGACAGGATTGCTGACATTATCAAAGAGGACCTGTGGCCAAATCCACTGCAATACTACCTGTTGGTTGAAGGCGCCCGTAGAGCCAGACATCGCCGAATAAGGGAGCCAGTGGAGATCCCCAGGCCCTTTGGGTTCCAGTCTGGTTAAACTTTGCCCTTGGGAATACTCTTGCAGAAGGTCCCCTACCACCTCTTGCTGGACCTGTGCTTTGACAAAAGAAATGGTGTTGCCTTCTAATTTTTTTTTTTCCCCTGACATTTCTGCAGATTTTTTCCTCTGGACGTTCAGTTCCTTCAATCTCAAGGTTGGACTTGCATAGCCATGCTCTTCAACCTCCACGTAGCCTTCTTGCTGTTCTCTATTACTGTCACATACTGCATGGCCGTGATTCACACCACTCCTAAGCCAACCAAATGATACTGTAGATTTCACGCCTTTGTCTGCACTTCTTGGACCCTGTTTGTTCTCAGGGACTCTGGTTTGGCTCTGACTGCGTGGAATTCCAGCTTTGTCTAGGAGCCCATTCTACCCACTTTGCTCTGCAGTGAAGGCATATAGCCTCTGGACAGTTGTGTGGCATTAATGCTACCAAAGGAGAGCAGCAGTGGGTCACATGCTCTTTGTGATTTATGTGACTCTGTTGCTCCTCTTGCACCTGTGGTGACCTCCTGTTGTTGCCTACTACTAACTATGCCCACCCCTCTTGGCTGCTACCTACTGGAGGAACATTTTCCAGACCACTGTCAACCCCACTGTCTGGTTTCTGGTAAACAAGCATTTCCAGAACTGGTGGTGGACCCAGGGTTCCTGCTAGCACACAAAAGACCTCTCCTCTGTTCCTTACCCACCTCTTCCCTCCACCCCCATCATCCAGAAACCCCTCTAACTATTAGGCAAGTGGTTGATGTGAGAAGTTAGACGTTTTCTTTGTGGCAAGAGTAAGGATGGTGTCCATTCCAAGTACCAGGCTTCTCAGCTTCAGCTAGTGAATTGACACAAAACCTAGATACCTCTTTGTGCCTCCTTTCCTCATCCTGAACATGATTAAATGCCAGGGTGTCGGTACACTTGCCCTCTGTCTCTCTCTCCTGTCTCTTAAAAAAAAGTGATAGCTCAGCAACATCTGCCTAAGCAGAGATTTTAGTTTGATTTGGCTCTCTTCGTTATTTCCAGGTACAGGAAAATGTACTGCCAGAGCTTTTATTTCCATCTGTTCTCTTCCCCACCCTCTCTTCCACCCACTTTAGTAACACCTAGAAGATTTAAAGGGAGGCAGATCTAGATGGAATGAAAAGTGATATCTAGTTCCTAATGGATGGAAGAACTAAAGAGATTGTTATGGGTGCCCTAAGCCAGGGAAACCAAACTAAAGACCACAGGCAAAAATGTGAGGTAAAAATGGGGCCTAAAATGAAGACTGGCTGACAGAAAGCCTTCAAGGAAAAGGTTCTTTCTGTGCCTGTGGTAATGGGAGGAGAAATACTTTAACTCAGGATTTCTATTGGAGAGTCAAAGGGAGTTGGAGTGTTAAATACGTTGCCTCTGAGAAGAGTTCTTTAAAGAAACACAAACAATGCAAGTTTGGGTGCTTTCTCTTGTGTTTTCTTTTGATTTAATTTATGCGGAAGATTAATCTGAGCCCTTTATTTCACAAGTATTTAGTCAAATCCTGTTCTTTTGTCTGTTTCTGCTTACTGGGGAAATTGAGCTGTACAGGCTTTCTTTTGTGTTTAATTGGGAGCATTTGGAAAAATAGCAAGCTTACTTTCCTGTATGATATAAATACTGAAATGAATATTCATAATGGTTTTCAAGTTGTTTCTGTTAAAACTATATCCTGAGGTATATAATTTGAATAACTTGGTCTTGTCAGATTCTGAAGACTGTGGAAGTTGTTATCTTCATAGGAAAATAACCCTCAAAAAATGTTTAGCTTTAATTGTCTTACTTGATAATTTTCTCCGGTAACAACTTAGTAATCGATGTGTCTCTTCCTAAATAGCATTTGTGCGTGTGAGATGGCTCTCTCAAACTGAAAGTATAACATTTGCCTATTTGTCTTTCCTTATATGCATATAATAAAATAAAAACATGTTACTCTGCTAAAAAAAATGATTATGATGGTAAATTTTGTGTTAATGTTTCAATCCACAGTCACATAAATTGAAGAAAAGTGTACTTGAAAACTTTTGTGATGAAATTAGACAAGAGGATTGTGAAACCCTAAATGGAAGTAACCGATGTGTCTGTATCGATCAAAGACAGAATTGTCATGGAGAATAGATTAGTATCTGTTGTGTAAAATATACACAGTGAAGACTAAGGCTCAAGAAACATTTAATGACTCTAGAGTGTTTGCATTTTTACAATAACTTAGCCATATTTTTCGATATATTATTTATATAATATACAGTATATATATCTGTGTGTGTGTATGTATAGTGTGTGAGTGCATAGGTATATATCACACACACACTATATTTTAGCACATCAAAATGGAATCAGAATTCCTAATGTTGTTGATTAGATAGCAGGGTCTCTGTTCACAACTAAGAAAACAAGACTGGAATCCAATTAGAAAAGGATGGGGTGTCCACATTTGCCAGGCATTTGAAATGCAGACGAATGGACACGGAGAAAAGTAGGTGGTGTACAGCTTGTCTCACAGGGTCAGGGAAGCAGCCATCCTGAATTCCTCCCTTCTAGAGCCTTTGTCTTTAATGATTGACAATTTCCTAGGATCTCAATGACAATAAAATTGCTTGGCCAATGAGGAGCTTTGGAAGTTGAACCTCTAGTGATAGAGAGACTGCAACCTGCTTGTGACCGTCTGGTTCAACAATCTTTCCCATGAAAAGAAGTAGCTCACCTGAGCCTCCTCCCGTAGATGATCCCTCTTGCCCAGGAGCCTGGGACTCATTCATCCCTCTGCCCTTCCTGAGGACAGATCTCCTGGATGGTACACTCAGAGGAGATGTCAAGCATCATTCCACTGCGATGCCAGTCAGGTAACCGAACATCCCTTAGTGGATGTTTGCAGATGAAGGCAGGTGTTGTACTAAAGGTATTCATCCAGGGGAAGCTGTGAAGTGAATACAGCATCAGGTGATTAGAACTAAGTCCCCTTTGGTCCTCCTGCCTAACTCTCTGTCATCTTCTTCACACGTTTCCTTGCACTTTGCACCAGATACTCAAGCACCTCTCATTTGCTAATCTCCTACTCACTCTACTATGACCAGGACCATTTTCCTCCTGAGTAGAAATCTGCTTTTTCTGAAAAATGATGACTATTATAAATTTCTTTGACATTTACTTGCAGTCTTAAGGTGGTGGAAGGCAAGAAGTTTGGTAAAGTCTGCTTTGTCTTCCCATTCCTGGTTGTTCATATACCTATGTGTTATCTTAGTTGCCTGCCTCTGAGGCCCCTGGGGACCCGGACAGAAACTTCAGTTGCCTCCCCAGTCTGATTCTCTGCATAAAATTGCTAAATGTTTTAAATAATCAAATTTTAAAAATGACCATCCCTGGTGCCGGCCCGGTGGCTTAGCAGTTAAGTGCATGCGCTCCGCTACTGCTGGCCCTGGTTCGGATCCCGGGCGCGCATTGACACACCGCTTCTCTGGCCATGCTGAGGCCGCGTCCCACATACAGCAACTAGAAGGATGTGCAACTATGACATATAACTATCTATGGGGCTTTGGGGAAAAAAAAAGGAGGAGGATTGGCAATACATGTTAGCTCAGGGCTGGTCTTCCTCACGCACACACACAAAAAATTAAAAAGATGACCATCCCTGATGCTTGCAAGAATTAACAATGGATGGCACTCTGCTCTATCAGCTTCAGGTTTCTTTTTAGTTTTTAAATAACAGAATAATATGCATACAGAAGGCACCTATTTCTTATTCCTCTCTATTAGTCTCCATTCTGTCCCAAGATAGTGTTCACCTCTGATGATGCTCCTCTGCTGGACTAGAAAACTGACTTTTGATTGTGTTGTCAGCCTATCTTTCCCAAGAGATTCATCAACAACATGGAACCTAGAAACAACAGATGTTTCAGAATTCCTTCTTGTGGATGAAGATCCAGAACTGCAGCCTCTCCTCTTCATTCTGTTCCTGTCCGTATACACAGTCACCATCCTGGGAAACCTACTCACCATCCTGACTGTCATCTCTGACTCCCACCTGCACACCCCCATGTACTCCTTTCTCTCAAATCTGTCCTTTACTGACATCTGTTTAAGCACAACCACAATCCCCAAAACGTTGAGGAACATCAAGCACAGAATCCCAGCATCACTTATTCAGGCTGCCTTACACAGATTTACTTATCCCTGGTTTTTGCCAGTTTGGAAAGTTTTCTTCTTGCAGCAATGGCCTATGATCGCTCTGTGGCGACTTCTCACCCACTGAGGTACACAGTCATCATGAGTTCCCACTTCTGTAGACTTCTGATTCTCTTCTCCCTGTTCATTAGCATTGTGGATGCCCTCCTCCACAGTCTGACGGTGTTGCAGCTGACCTTCTGCACAAACCTGGAGATAATCGTCTTCTTCTGTGCAGTTGTTCAGCTCATCAAACTTCCGTGTTCTGATACCCTCTTCAATAACTTCCTGATGTATTTTGCAACTAGTGTATTGGGTGGTATTCCTGTGTGTGGAATCATTTTCTATTATACAAAAATAGTCGTCTCTGTTTTGCAAATGGCATCAGCAGATGGAAAGTATAAAGCCTTTTTCACCTGTGGGTCTCACTTCGCAGTTGTGTCCTTATTGTATGGGACATGTTTTGGGGTGTACATTAGTTCTCCTCTTACTAACTCTTCCAAAAATACTGCTGTGACTTAGGTAATGTACACTGTCATCCCTCAAATGCTGAACCCCTTCATCCATAGCCTGAGGAACAGAGACATGAAAAGAGCCTTGAGAAAACTGATGGGTAAGATACCAATTGTTTTTCAGAAGGGTGTTGTTTAAGTTACACATGTTTTTGTATTTTGCCGTTGTCCTTCTCTTATTAATTTTTAACTTCATAATATTGTCATCAGAAACGACAATGGATATTGTTTCAATCTTTTTAAATTTACTGAGACTTGCTTTGTTGCCTAACATATGATCTATCCTGGGGACCTTGCCATGTGCACTAGAGAAGAAGGTGTCTTCAGTTGTTCTTAAATGGAGTCTTTTTATATGTGTGCTAGGTTTTGTTCATGCCATTTTTCAA